GGTTGGGCGGAGGTGAGGGGGAAGAGGCGGGGGAGGTAACTTACGTTCCATGCGGGTGTGCCGTAGTAATCTTGGGCGGCGTTGTGCCAGCCTTCGCCGTGGCGGCCTAAGAAGAGCACTTTGTAGTCGACATTGGATGGGGCTTGGTGGTTCAGCTCGACAACTTGGCGGTAGAAGCGTTCCCATTGGGTGAGGTCATTGTGGTGGTGTTTCTTGTCGGCAGGATATGTCCGGTTGATGAGTCCGAAGTTGGTGGTGGTCTGGGATGATTAGCGGTCACCGGTCTGGATCCGTTGGCATGCAGGGCTTGGGGGGGATGAACTTACGAAGTCAAACGTGGACGCATCGGTGGACTCCTCATCCTGCAGGAAATAACCAGTGACGGTGGTATAGTTGATGTAGGAGGCCTGCGTGGTGGCTGCAAGAGCCAGCGCAAGAGGCGCGACACTGGAGAGCTTCATGATGGATCAAGGAGAGTCACCCGACCTGGCCTGGCTTGAAGATGCTTCCAGCTGGCAATACCCTCAGGGAAAACATGGCTGGATGGCCACGTTATATAGCCCGAGAGCCGGATGGGACACTCGGATGACATCTTGGCAGTGGACAAGCAGGAGATTTGCCGACCTCGATGGCGTCGCCGGCCGACCCTCTGCAGGCCTACCAGCGCCGCACGTGCAGGGGTCGGCGGAGAAGCTAGCCGACTCCAGAGGAATCGCACCAGCCTAGCCAGCCGACAAGCAACCGAAATGACGACGAATTAATCAATCGAAAGGCGCCCAAAAATTCCAGTGGATAGAAACGAGGGACAGGGCGATGCTTCCCAGTCATCGCCCTTCGCCCCCCTATTAGATGTATTATAGTAAGTAGGTGGTAGTGGTAGTAGTAGTAGTAGTAATAGTAGTAGATAGGGGACCAAAAAACAGTGCCTCCAGTAAGTCCCAGACAAGCAAAATATCAAGCAGTCGCTTCCCAAAGCCCACATGCTATATCCAAGAAAAAAAGACAGTATTCAACAAATCAAGCCCAACCCCTGAGGAGAACCGAATCGCAGACCGGAGCAGACGCCAAGAAAGAGACACCGACACGAATGCATGGAAAACAACACGAGCCCGGGGATATAGATCGGAGTCCCACGTGAAACAACAGTGATAATGCCAAGAAGAGCAAGGTCCACACAGAATATTAGACCGCGGTCGAAAAAGCCGCGGAGGGATAAAACGGCAGAGGGGTTATATTACAGGCCCACCGAGAAACATTTGACTGGCGAAAGGAAGGTTACGTGCACGCACTAGATGAATTGGCGTTCCTGCGTGGTTTTCAAAAGTCGTTCGGAGTTTGGTTGTTGGTGAAGGTATAAGCTTTAGGCTTCTGAGACGGAAGCTGCTGGGCAACAAATCGGTGAGCTTCCTGCTGCTCCGGAAACTCGTAGATGTGGAACTCGGTATGCTTCAAATCGCCACTGAAGGCGGCCGACGTCGGCATATCGACGTCACTTGTGGAATACACCAGGGACGGAGACCCCGTCACGGGCACATGGTCGGCTCCATGCTCCATAGCCTGCTCATACGACATCGCGGACAGATCCGCCTGTGGAAGTTGACAGGGGCTCTGGAAGGATGCTTCCGGAGAGGGCATTGACGTGGCATCAGTCCAGCTTCTGCCCGTCAGGGGCCCGTCGCATGCGGCATAATCAGCAAATGACGTGTAATGAGCAGGAGCAGACATCGGAGGAGCGACACCCTGGTAGGGGTAGGAAGAAAGGACATCCACGGCCAAGGGGGTAGCCGGAGGTGATGCGATATTGATCTGCATCGGCTGTGTGGTAGGAAACAATTGGCTGGATGGTTGTGCCGACAGACAGTACCCACCATCGCTGGGAGTAGTCGGGAGCAGATGATGCAGATCCTCCGGGGTCAAGGGTGTTGGTGGCGCCAACCCCCCTGTCGTGACAGCGGGTTGCAGCATGGATGTCATATCAGCCTTGGAGCTCAGAGCCCCGGCTTCAGCGAAAGTCGACAAGTTGAGAGGTGAACGCTGAGCGGCGGACGCCTTCCTCACACCCGCGTAGCGGGAGTTGAGGCCCTGTGCCGACTTGGACTGTCGCACGCCATGGCTGGCGCTGTAACTGGGGAGCCTTGTTGTCGGTGACATGGTGGATGCACCCGTCAACATGGAAGATGATCTCGAGGTGCCAATGGCAGCCGGCCTCGGCCGCTTTCTGCGGGCCGCGAGGTCAAGTTCCTTGCCATGTTCTTTCCAAGAGGTCTGGTCGCTTCCATTCACAAGCTGTGAGATGCTGGTGGGGGTATTGATGCCAATTCCTTCGAGGGTATCAGCCAGCTCATCAGACGAGCCTCGTCTAGACAACGACAGCTCTGTGTGTAGAGGATATTGCACAGCATTATAAGAAACCTCTGCATCACTGGCCGAACGGTACTCAGAGAGGGGCTTTGTCGACGCATGGATATGGTGTGTCCAATCTTCGTTCTGGGAGGGGTGAAACTGTACGCTCTGCATGGAGTCGTGGGCGGCATTGTCATGGTGAGTACCGTCCAGACCGGGAATAGTCATAGACTCCCCCGCGGTCACATACCCAAGGGCATCCTGGGGGCTTTGCGACGAGGTCCATGAGATAGCGTTTTGCGAGAAGGAAGTGCTAAGGTCACCCGGTCCATGCCTGCTACTATCGTGGCTGCTGCAGCGATTGTTTGCTGAGAACGTTGTGGTCGGGGACACTGAGCCATCCACACTGGGTGACTGGCTATTTTCACCATCCTGGCCATAACGATCACGGGCAGCCACAGCGGCATTCAACGCTCTTTGCAAGGAAGCAAAGGTAGCCTCACGTGCCGACTCGCTTCTCGTCTTCTGGTGCTTGGGGCGGGAGGACGAAGGAGCTGGAGTTTTTGTGCGCTCGCCAGCGTTCTCCACTGATTGTTTGGGGGTATCTTTATCGGTCTCATCTTTCGAGTCTTTGGTGTCTTCCTTCGTCTCTGGGCTCTCCGAAGACTCTGACTTGCCTCGAGCGGCCTCTTCAGCTTCGGCCTTGGCCTTCTGCATCCTCTCGAACTCCTCTTGCCTCTTCTGTTGCTTGGCCTTAGCCCGTCGGTTCTGGAACCAGTTCTGCAAACATCATTAGTGTACTGGACACGGGATACTCTCTGTGGGCCAGAGTATAACTCACAGCAACTCGTGGCAGACTCAGGTTGGTCTGAGCGGCCAATTGGCGCTTGACGTTGCTACTGGGCTTGGGGTGAGCCTGAAATTGGGCCTCCAAGGTCTCAACTTGCTCTTTCGTCAACCTTGGGCGGGAGAGGTTCTCTGCATATTCTTCGTAGTCCATGATGGGTTGGTGGTAGAAGTCGACCATGTCAAAGGGCGGGTGAGGGTAGAGGTAGCCATCCATTGGATGTATCATGGATGGATGAGCCATTGTCGGGTCGAAGGCAACCGGCTGTTCCATGGGAACGGCCGCATGGCCAGTGAATGCGTAGGGATGGTGGAGGTAATTCATGGTGATAGTTGTAGTATAGAGGTGGCAGAGAGAGAGAGAAGGGGGAGGAGAGTATGAACTGTCGGCGCGGTGCGGTGTGATGAGGTGCTAGGTGCGGTGAGATGAGGCGAGAAAGGATTCGAAGGTACTGGACCAGTTGCTGCCAACAACCCGCAGCTGTGATGAGACAGCTCTAGACCATTGAACGATAGGATCACAGAGGAGGGTTGCTTGAAGTCAAGCTAGGAGGAGGGGGCGGGAAGATAAGGACTTAAAGCAGGAGGAGGGAAGGGATTAAGGCGGCGGTAGGGAATGACGGGACTGAAGTAGGCAGGGCTGTCTGGTTGTATACTTGCGGCCGGGTGGAGATGCCCAGGGAAAAGGAAATGCGATGTAGCAATGAGAGTGAGAGAAAGAGAGAGGGGAACGAAGGGCAGGATCAAGGAAGGTATAAGTCCGACAACAAGACCGAATAGGACAACACAGAAAAGGAAAAAGAAGGAACGACTGGACTAAGCTGACAGGGAAAAAGCAAGAAAAAGGGAAAATGGTAGAGAGTGGACGAAACGGGAAAAGGAGAGTAGGAGGTGAAGGAGAGACTGAGCAACGAGCGAATGTGAGAGTGAGAGTGAGTAGTAGTAGTGAGAGAGAGAGAGAGAGGAAAAGGACAAAAGGGAAAAAAACAAAAAAAAAAAGAAGAGGACCCAGAAGGATTGACAGTCAGTCACAGACACTCTGAGGGTTGAGGGACTGGATTTCGGGGGGGGCTCGCTGTCCGCCCATTGGCTGTCGCCGGATGGAGAGAGATTGGCGGCGGCAGCCTGCCCGGCAAGAAGGTGTGGAGGGCGCCGTGTTGATTGGTGATCGCCGCCCGGAACTGGCTGGAGGAGGATTTGGCCTGGCCGGTTTGGTATCAGGGCCGTATCCTCTGCCCCGTCATCGTTACGGCCAGTCCCGTCAGGTTGGGCGAACTCCCCGTGTCGGCGCTTCGGGTTTTCGTTTGGAAATCTGCCCTTCACGCTGTTCCAGCGCGGTAGATATGATCTTGCGGATTGGCTCCATCCACCCTCTCGACGGTGCCCTTTTCCCCTCCCCTCGACGACCCCTCTTTCGCATTGATCCCCCGGTCCCCTTGGTCACCCTCGCGGGAATCACATAGTACTGGATCCAGTAGGTGCCTACCCTTTCGGTACTAGACCAGTCTCGGGGAACCAAACCGTTACCAGGTACCGTATCGAACGCCCAAGGCATCGAGCACCCAAAAATATTGGCCGACGAAGTGGGTTTTGGGTGCTTCCGCCCGAGCGGTTCTAGGGGGTGGCGGCCTGGGCTCACACAGTCGGCGGGCGGGCACGCACTGAGTACGTACTACTAACTTGGGTCTCCGGACTTAAAATAACCCCAAACTGAAATACTTGGGTGGCTAATGAGCTTGGAGCTGGAGAGGGGTGGTTTCGTTGGATAGCTACCTAGCCAAAGTATAGTAGTGACGCTGTACGGAGTACTGTGTAGTGTCAGGCCAGTCGTACTTCCGCCATACATACCTTATCTTCGTACCAAGATAAACCCAAGATCCTTTCGATGGGGGGCGCTGGGCTGGGTGGTGCGACGGTGCGGTGGCGCGGCGGTGACTGATTCTCCTCTTTGGCTGGAAGGCATGCCTGTATGTACTCCATATGATCGTATGTACGTCCGACGGGTCCGCAATGCATCCTGTGCCTCAGAGTGAGCTCAGTTGCTTTTTTCTCATTATCGTCAGACCCATCAGGGTGGTCCTGAAGGCCAAAAGTTCGTTTTATGTTTATCCTGGGTGGTGGAAACATGTTGTTTACTCTTTTCTTCTTTTGTCTAGGATAGTGTGGCAGTTTGTTTTGCAGTACAAATTTCCTGGTTTTATTCTCTCACTGTTCCCGGTGACACCTCTCTGTTGCTTGACATCTATCAGGTTTGTTTTTCGGTTCCTCTGCA